GGGGAAGTCACCAGCTTCCCAATACCTCAAGCGGTAAACCCTAACAATCACAGATCCAGACCTGTCTACCCTCAAACGGAGTGCATTTCACCTCTAGTTGTTGCATGTCACGGCTATAGAGAAGCAGTACACTATTATCCAGAGTTGGAATCGCACAAGAGGTCCGGAACCATAGAACATGTACCACTTTCGGGGCTCCAAAGAAAGGAAAGCCGGTGAGGAAGCCACTATGTTCAGGCCGCAGAAGTAGGACTTCTCCTATCATTTCAATTCGCAATCTAGGATGCCTGTTTATATATAGCACGCTTAGTGTCCCCTCGCTGTTTGCAGATATTACGCTCGAATCTTACAGAGGTCTTTTTGGACTATTTTAGCCTATTTCTTTTGCTTTTCTTTTCGCTGATAACTCATTCAGCACATGAGAAGCATGTATGTATGTATGAAGCAATGTATCCTTGAATTTCCTGATCGTATTTCGCTTCTACCAGAACTACTAAGCTACCACAGAACGGTTTTAGATTCTAAGTCGCAAATATACTTTTTCTACGAAATATTTATTAGATTCGCTCAATGTGATTTACGCGTGACATCCGATCGTCTTCTTCTCTTCAGATATCTCCCCGAAACGAAAGGCCGTACGACTGAGGAGATCACAGCCATGCTGCAGAACTGATGGAAGTTGTGAGATGTTACTGTTGTATTCATTGGGAATAGGTTGTTCACTCGTGAATGAATATTCGTAACTTCTGCAATGATTACTACAGCGGCATCTTCAGATGTCCCTAATAATCGCTCACTCACGGAAGTCATATTGATGAAAATCGGATAAAGAATTTACAAGATCTCGACTCAGTGTGAAAAAAAGAAGAGTACGCCGAAAGTAGTTGCACTTAACATCCTCGTTTTTGCACTTTATATTGAGTCAGGGCTCGCCATCGTTGCGATAATCACAACGGGGGTCATATTCTGCAGGAATTTATCGCAATGCGATATCGTGCTCTGGTCAGGAGAGGCTAATGAGCACGCCCCAAACCTCCGACTGCCTTCTCTATCAATTGTGATCGGTTAGGGACCGATCTAGGAAGGAAACAGTCACAGGTGAAAGCCAGGTGGGTCCACTCTATGCCTCCTGACACCTTTCCGACTAACTGCGAAGATATCGTTCAAAAGAAGTTCTGCCAATAAGGTCATGAATACGACTGCTTTCATCAGCTGTTTCACATACTGAACACAGATGTACGAGGGAGAGCAAAAATCCCTCTTATGGCGAGTAGTATAGGGGTTCACGTTTTGGAGGGTGAAAAGCTACATGGAAGATTTAAGGTCCCCAGTTCCCCCAACATTCCTGACGTGTTCCTATGTTCGTAGATAGAGTGAACCGTTCATCACTGCTCTCACCGTCGTGAGCACGAACTACCCATCATCACTATCGAGCTCAAGGATCTCAAGAACACCGCACCTGTGTCAGCCTGAACCACATGCGTGACTTCCGTTGAAGGGAATTTTCGAAGAATGCGACCCCTCCAGAAAATTTTCTTCTGGTGGAACCTTCCCATACTTCCGTCCTACCCATTGAACCTCCCATATTGCTGATTCGCCTAACGTGCACTGACCTCTATGCTTCATATCCGGTTTTCTCAGGATTAAAACCCCATTCACGGCCATCGATATCACGGCAAATCATCGCGCTCTGGAAATACCTTGCTGAATGAAGCCCTCCAAGAGACCAAACACAATGCCGTTGTGTTCTACCCGGCGATGATTTGTCCTAACTACGCTCCCGGGAATGGCGGCCCGACGATCACTGGAGAGGGGAGGGTACCCCGAAGTTCATAAATACATATCACAGGCTTCTGTGATGCTCTCCATGAGCAAGATGTTTTTTTGGCGCCTTCTTCCCCCCCCCTTCGCTGTAGAATAGAAGAATCCACTAGAATCTGCCTTATAAAGACAACCATACAATTAAAATATGTTACTTTATTGAAAATGCATAACATGAAAACAAATTACAAATGTACACAGGTACCACGTGATAAAGAGGCGACTGAAATCGGAGTGTGTAAATTATGCAGAATATTACGAGTGCTTTCGATGATCCGCGCCTACTGCTTCAGTTACGCTTTTGAACCCGTCTCTTCTCAACAGCTCCACCAACTCTCTTTTTACCTAAATATTGAAGTAAAACAAATAACACCAAAAGCTAAGATTTTTGGAGGTATCCCAACACGAGTCACGCAATATAGAGTACACAATCAGGGTACAGCATGGGAATGTGTGGATTGGCGATGTCAACACCACTTTCCGCTCCACACCCCCCCCCTTTTGTAAAACTTTCCCTAGTTCGAAAAATTATCTTGAGGATTTTCGATGAGCAGACCGAAAAACACATGCGAGTTTTACGAGCGACTATGATCTAGTACGCCATAATTTACAAAGAAAAAAAAAGACCACTACAAAGTAGAATTTCTCATTCCCCAAAATGTATCACATTTTTTTCAGTGGATTTATAGTTTGAGAGATATTTCAGAAGATATTTGATGGGTGAAGCTCTGAGCCACTCGAAAACTCACTTCCTTTCCTATCATTATATTAAAACTCATTACGAAACTTTACGATGCTTTCAGACGCATGGCGTGCCTGTAGGCGTAAAGTGGATCCACCCTTGACTTGGTTTTTCACCAGTCGTTGCCCAAAACCGGTTATACATCTAGCCCGTGGCTGCCACGCATGAGGCTCAGCATAATCCTCCACCTAAGCCTAACACGGCCAGTGGCTTTACACTGTTAAGCAATGTACTTTTTCTAATTTATATTATGACTCGGTTATTTCTTGAAAGGCGCCTTTCCTCACCTTCCCAATAACTGGAAAACCTTGAAAGGTAAGTGCAGAATAGAGCTGCACCACAGAAGCTCCTGCTCGAATCTTCTCGTATGCATCTTCACCGCTTGACACACCACCGCATCCTACTATAGGAATACGTCCTTGAGTAAGGCTAAATATGAAGTTCAGTGGTGCTTGATCACGGTAGATCTGGTAAATTTCTACAAAAAAGTAAAAGAGGAGTGTCGGACCTGTACATCTCTTTTATGCAGTCCGTACTCAACTTGCGAATGGGTGCACCACTCAGACCTCCGGCTTCATTTTTGAACTCGCTTTTTAGAGTTTCGGGACGAGAAATTGTTGTATTAGAGACAATCAAACCATCAACACCGTACTTCCTATCCAGCACTACCTGAAGCCATGTGAGCAGTAAATATCAACCAACGTTCCAAATAGAAGCATTCCAAATAGTACCTGTGCAATATCCTTTTTCTCAGATAGTTCGAGATCAGGAGCTATTTTCAGAAGAACCTTTGGCCTTTTTTCCAAACGATTCGCGTCGACAATGTACTTTACATGCGCAAGCAACTGAAAACATCACTCTCTAAATGGCAAAATTCAATCGAAAAACAACTCTTGAAATACTCGAATTTCAGTCAGCAGTAGTCAGAAATGGTAGTTCAGTATCAATTTGCCAGTTTCGAAAGGTGAGAGACTAGTCAGACGAAAGCCGATCCAGGATTTGATCCCAGAACCGCGCCTGTAAACAGTGCAACTTGCCCTCACACTTGCAAACCCTGCCAGCATCAAAATGTCGAAAGATAAGATGAATTCGGGTTCGCCTGGAGGAATGGGAGATGGAGGGAACTGGGCGCACTACTTCTGATCATTGACGAACAAAATGAAAGGCCACAATGATACACTACAAAGCCAGTTCCTTTTTTATGCAAACGTTACAATGAGGACTGATTGAAATCATGACCTCCCTAGTTCTCAACAACGTGCGGAGCCATTATAAGTGAACCACAGGTCTGTGAGCTCTCATTCCCTAGGTCGCTACGATTCTTGGTCCCAATAGGAAATTGTTGAAGACAAATGGCACGATAAATCTCCAAGACGTGCATGATTAATATGCGTAGCAGGAGAGGAATCGGCACCTCAGCAGGCGATGCGTGGCGCTTTTCTCTTTAAACGCCCTATCAAGCTGCACCATACCAACCCGCACGCCCACCGCGCCCGCCCGCCCACAAATGTCCGACCGATGCTGATGTTCGTATTGCTTCATTTGCGAAGCACTTATGAAGCGAAGGGATTGATATGAAGGGATGCACTGCTGCATAATTTATGAGTACATACATGCAGCCGTATCTACCGTAGCAGTTACTGGCACGAGGTCAAAGGGAAACTCGTCCGAAATCATTTCTGAGTGGCGAAGAATAAAGGCCATTTTTGCAGGTTTTTTACCCGTTTCACTTAGCATTTTCGTCATTTTACCGCTAAGTGCACACCTGATACAGTTTCAGACCGAGTACCAAATTATACTGACATATGCCTTTAAGTTGAATTGAAATGAATTTCTCCTCGCAGAGTTGGTATACAAAATGGAATGTGCACTATTAACGCATTTACGTGGCATTCGGTTGATAAGCCGCAATCACCAAAGGCGCTTTCAAAAACTGCGGCGTCCCGCGTCGCAATGCGCCGTTCGCCGCTGGCGAGGCACCTTACTTCTTCTGAACGCATTCCCTTTCAAAAAAGGTGGAATGAGCCCACTCGCAGCACATCCACCTCTGGCTGCCTTCTTCCCGGATCGACCGCGATTGGTAAGCCAAGAAAGTCGGAGGAGGGCCCATTCCGCCCTTCCTGACATCGCTCCGACAGACTGCGAAGTTATCCACCATATCATACTGTTTTGATCACTGACCGGAAAGTGTATACGTAGATGTTCCCCCCCCCCCTCTTCCTGAATAAACAATGACCAGATCTGAGAGTGTGAACAGATGTCCTTCCCCTCCTCAGGGCGAAAAATGCTCAAATTCAGAGAGATTCCACGAAGAATCCCTTTCTCTCTCAATGCCCAGGCCTTTCGAGTGATTTGGAATGTTCGAAAATACGAAAAAATGATATCATCCACAACCACTAGGATCTGAGCTGCCTCCCTTCGAAGTTTATACAAAACATAGCTCGGAATTGCATACATATTAAGACCTCGATTGCTCCATGACTTGAAGAGCTGTTAGAGCATTTCTACGTAAGTTTCAAAAATCCATTTCATGGTTCAGAAACTTACACTTTGTAAATCAGCTCGCTTTTGCATAGATCGAAGACCAGGTGTGTTCGGTGAAGAGACATTGACGACAAGGTAATCACAAATAGGGGCGAAGTGATTGACACCAACCTCGTAATCGACCCTGTAATCTCAGCAAGGTCACATTTTTGTATTCGCCCTCTCGATAGACTAATCATAAGGCAACACATAGAACAAAGACGTTCTCTCTGGTGGCACCGTTACCAAAATCGGGAAAGTTATGCTGGCAGAAACTGCAGGTGCACAGACAGAGAAGAAGGAAGCAGAAAAAAAAGAAAAAGGAAGGAAAAAATTGCAGGTGCAGAGAGAAGAAGGAACCAGAAAAAGCGAAAAAGGAAGGAAAAAAGCAGAGGACGTAGAGTCTAGGAGATAGAGTGGAAAAGCTATGGAATTACCCCTCCAAAAATGTTAACCCTTTTCTCACCCCAGACTAATGCTCAGATAAGCGTACAAGCCAAAGTCTGCGCGTACAACTCATGAAGTGTGCAGGCCAAAGTGCGCATGCCAGGGCTAGAAGAAACTAAACACGCCTCACCATGTACAGTATGTTTTGTTGTGCGTGAAGTTTTTAGGTGGAGCAATTGGCTGACGTTTCGAAGTAATCATATTTTTCGAAGGCGCGAAGGGTTTCCGAGTTTCTGGGATGTGTACTACTGACGGAGCGTCAAGCGCTTGACGGATACACATCTCTAAAACAAGGGACACTTTTAGGCCTCTGAAAAAGACGAGCACATTAAAACGTCAAGCCGTTAGGATGAATTGCACCACCTAAAACCAAAGGACAACAAAACATACTGTATTGTGTGAATTCCTGCTAAATAGAGACGACTCCCGCATTTCCCTTTTGACACGACCACTTTTCACAATCTCCCTTCCTTCTGACCACTTTTCCCGCAGTTTCATTGGCGAGCCTGGTAGGAGGGGTTGGCACCTTTCAACTGTTGATTCAGCAGCAGTAGGAAGTACCAGTTAGCCTGAAACATCCAACGGCGATGCGCCCTGGATGGAAAACGACGGTAAGAAAGATGATGGGATAGAGGAATAGAATGCTTCAAGAGCACACAACAAAGGCGAAGACCGATTGAGTGATGTGAAAAATTTGGGCAACCACTGGGACCACCACATGACAATAACTCTAAATATTTCTGATCTTCGGCATTCACAAGAAGTATCTTTTAATCTCTCGCGTATTTTTTAAAACCTAAGGGCTAGAAATCGTTCGCGTACTTTGGATCTTCAGCGAACTTATTTTTTCCAAGATTCACTCCTACTGGAGCTGCGTTGGCACTCCGTCGAGCTTTTGCTGCTTTGACACGCTTCGAGACCTTATTAGCACCATCGCTATTGAAACCGTATCGGTTTATGATTCCCTGTAAAGAATCCACAATAACTAACAAGAAACAGTAAAACTCTGTTAGCAGTGGAAGTCCAAAGAATTCAAACCTCGTCTTCAAGCAATCGGAACATTCGTGGTTTTGCATTCCCTTCTTGAGGTATGGGTGTTACTGAACCCACTTCGACAAGACCGAAACCCGACACCTCCGATAAAGGTCCGACAGCCTCAGCATTTTTATCGAAACCAGCGGCCAGTCCTATTGGGTTCTTTAGCTGCATTCCAAGGAACTAAAAATGATGAAACAATGAGAAAATAGGAGTAAATAAGCTCTCACAGATAGAAAATAGGAAGAATTCTTGGGGGTGGCGTCGCTACTTTGGATACCCAATGGACTAAAGTGGCCAATGTCAGCAATTTCCCTATAGAGGGTATAAATAACAGAAACGGTTCTAAAAGGACGAACGCGAACAATGTAAGAAAGGCGATTTATCTCTCTATAGACTTCCAGAGGGCCATCCAAAAAATGAGGAGCTTCAGAAACTTGAACGTCGCAGAAAAAGTTGAGAGTACAACATTATCACTACAAAGCTCGCCTACAGTCGGCGACCCGGGTGATTGCCAAACCGCGCAACCGCGCTCCGCACAAACGACCGCGCTCCGATGCAACCTCTGGTCCAGCCACATCCAGAATAAATTTTTTGATCTTTCCAGCTGTCCATTATTGGTGAAGCGCGGTCGGTCCATAGTCGCGCGTTGTCAATATCGCATGTGTTGCGAAGTATGAATGCTGCCAAACACTTCCGTGACCCCCCCCCCAACATCTATCCCACAACTTGGAGAAGCTTAACTCTTACATGGGCTCTACCTCGTAGCGTAAGAACTCAAAACGATATACACTACCCTTCAGGTTATGTTACGTTCAAACCCCATACCAACTCTCCTGGCCAGAACACCCAAAAGCATATGCTCCTGGCGGGGCGGCGCCCTTCTGGGGCGACAGGAACACAAGTGAAATTGTTGGAAGGAGAAAACCTCTTTTCTCTCGCATTCTCTTTTCACGCTTCCTTTTCAAGGCAGAGAAATGGGCACCATTCAAGTATTACCACCCCAAAAAGTCAAAAAAAAATTTTGGTGAGACTTTGCCCGCAGAGGTAATTCGGTGTCCTGATCATCAAGAATATAGCACTCGTTATCGGTGCTGGCACCAAATTGGCGCAGCGCCAGTTTGGCGCAGCTACCTTTCTCTCCAGATTCTGTGTAAATTTGCATATTAGGGTTATTTGATGTCCTGATCACGAATATCGAATTAGTTTTCACCCCACGCAATTTGGCGCCATTAGGCGCTGATTTGGCGCCACACCTTTTTTTTAACAGAGATAACAACCTGCACACAATTGGCGTTGTTGATGCCCTGATTCCAAATGTGACATTTATTTTTGACGCCAAGTGCGCCAATTTACGCGCTTTTCTGAGACTGAGCCTGGGAGAAAGAGTGATTCCCTTCAGATCAGGCTCAGCCATAGCAGAGCGCAGATGATAGCTGCGTCTTCCATCAGCGCCAGTGCCAAAAATGAATGTGATATTTGTAACCAAAATGTCAAATAACCTCCCTTTACAAGGTCTGAGCGGATTTAGTGACCTAGAGTATTTTGGCGCCGGCGCCTGTGGCGCGGGCGCGGTGCACATTCAGGCCAAGTGGATGTGATATTCGCCTACAGGGGTCGAATGACCCCTACAACCCAACTTTCAGCCAAATCTGCCCCCATAAAGAAGTCGATCACCATCCGGCCTGTTCGCGAAAATCGGGTATGTTACTAGTTGATTAGCCCCTGCGAGAAACTGTTCAATGCAATCCCACAAAAAACTCGTGCATTTTTTTTAACAATCACCAAGCACTTGACGGAGAAGAACCAACTTCTTTGGTCAAGAATGTGTAAAAGTACGTATGTTGAAACACATGTCTTGAATTTGCCCACGCACTCGTCGACCTCACATGCTAGCTCGTCATATTCTCGTCGATTAGGGCCAAAGCGCGGAATCAGGCCCCAGGAAGCTGCACGAACGGCTAGATTGTGGGCTGTTTCTCCATCAACGTATTTGTGAACAAGTGGCATTACCTACAAGTTGATGTTACTCACCACAAAAAACAAAAAATTGGTAAAGTTGTAAAGAAAAGACATACCGCTTTTTCGCTAGAAAGGTTCCGAGCCCCACAGTAACTCAGTGGCAGCATACCCAAGCAATCCACCGCCAACAACAATAATCGTTGATTTCGTGATGTCACCTGTCCGTAGCCGAGAATACATTACAAAATATGTCCTGGAATTAATTTCAGAACAGTTTACGCTACATTCAAAGGAAGGAGTAAAGACGAAACGATCTACACAATTGAAAACGAAGCGACTGCAAGAGCCTTATTGATCTGAACATGCACACGTTAATTTCTTTGTAGAAGGAAACCTCAATGGTAGATTGTTGGTTTCTTGGTTCAGTCACTAATAATCTATGGTCACATGGTTATCAAGGGGGGGGGGGAGGAAGGAACCTCACGATTAAAAAGCACTTGCGTTTCCCGACGGCAGGTTGTGAATGTGGCAGACAAGTTATAGCCTTTTTCGCTGCGGATGAAGGGGCGTGTCAGCGATGCTAGGTTTGGTGCGCCGCCATTTCCTTCTCCATCAGTTGTTGAAGCGAACGGTGGAAAAGGACCGATACAAATGATACGATACAGTCTTCAGTCCGCCAGGAACGCATCACCTTTGACACGCGAATGAGGGTATATGAAGGAATGATCCCAAATCTAGACTTGCCGCTTAATCGAACGTGAGGTCAAGTCTAAGGCATCCGGTCTAGTAACCACGAGTAATATTCACATCTCATAGTTGGATATGTGGGTCACAGGAATTAGTCGACAAAACGAAAATCATGCGCGGTAGGTCCTAGGCATTCCAAGGTAACAAAAACCATTGATGAGCGTTCGCCTTTGTACTTCAAACTCCCTGTTCAAACAGTGGACCAAGTAACTCAATGGCAGGGACCGCGAATGCCACTGTTGGACATGGGGTAAAACCGGATATCACGGAGTAGAATAACTTATTAGTGGAGAAGAGAGCGAAAAAAAAACGCCGAAAGGTCACCAATTTAAGACCCCTTGCTGATTCTAAGCATTATGTACAGATGGTAAGGATACACTGGGAGCCTAGAAGAGAGAAACAGATAATCTTATGACGCGAGTGTACACAAATGATCGAGACTCTGCAGCAATATAGCGACGGCAAGAGGAAATAAGAGGGATGGGGAATCATTTAGGGGGCGGAGACCGCTCGTCACAGCAGAGCCGTGGCGTTCTTATCAAGCACTTTCGAGCATGGATGGTGATACATCCCATAACTGCGGACCGCTCACCCTATCAAAGTAAAACAGAGAAAAAAAAGAAAATATTGGAAAGGGAAAACCCTCCAAAGTACAGATGGTCCGAGAAGAGCATTCAAAGCCGGAGCGAATCGGGAGGGTCGGGAGGAATTAGGGCTGCTGTTTGAGCTTAACTGTCATCTCTAGAGTTACGATTAGCCTATAGGAAAACTTACACTTCGACTATTCAAGCTTTACCATTTCACGGGACCTTTTCGGAAAGCTTGACAATGAGCTTCGAACTTCTAAAATCCATTCCGGAAAATTAATCTACCAAATGTCCCCCAGAACAAAGCACAACTACAGCAGCTCCGTGCACGTAAACGTAACCACTCTAAAAAACACACGACTCTGGCCTACCTGCGGTTACACATTCCACTGAACTAATGTCCATTTGAACAATGTTTCCAAACTATTGCGCCGTTAAATAGAGGGTTGATTGTGCAATTCACAGGAGCTCTACTATTTGTCGGCGAGGCGGCCCCACTACCGTCTCCTCTCGTTGAGGTGACGCATTTTTGATATCGGCCTCTGGATCAGTTGAGTTTGGTACTTCACGTCTTTTCCCCTTTTTTCTTACTCCGCTCGGTTCTCCGGAAGTCGCTGGTTCATTCCACTTGATTAGAATGGAATTGTTCCAGTACCTCTG